CTGGTTAACAATCTCCATTGTTATCTCACTGTTGAAAAAATCCTTAGCAACAGCACCAATAATACCTACAAAAGAGAACACTTGGTATTTAGATCCAAATACTCCATATTAAGAATGAGAGTAATGTAGCTCAAAATTGTTATTTCTAAAGGAAATGTTTCAAATAAACCAGGAACAATGTGACAAAGTCCTCTGCGGTCAGAATAATAATGGAGAAGCATGGTTCCATCAGGGTTCCTTTCCACTCGAAAAGAAGGTGCATTCATCTCCTGCAAGAATCAAGCATGGAAAAATAAAATATATCTCCAATAAAAAAGGGGGGGGGGGGGAGAGACAGATGTGAAAGCAAGTACTTATTAGGAGAGCGACAGGTAGCTGTGAAGTGCATCCAAATTCTCCGTGAATTCAGACAGATTTCCTCCTAAAGTCCGCAGCATGTGATGGTAGCCGGAGCGTTTGCAAAAACTCAAAGAAATACTCTCGAACTGCCTCAAGACTACCTCTGGTTTTACTCCTGAAAGTAAATCAATAAATAAATAAATAAAAACATGTATGACTGGAATTTTCAATTTCATATATTGAAAACAACTCGTGAATGGAAAGACACCTAAAAGCTTGCAGGCCTCTGCCACTAAGTGCAAAGTGATTTCATCTTCGTAGACTTCATGTGTCAGGAAGGTGTCCTGGACTCCAGCTTCATCCCTGTGTATGATGATGATGATGATTTTGGGAAGACAATATGTTTATTTCCTGATATGTTTTAAGAATGTAACAGAAATGTGTTTCTGCTGTAAAAATTCATTAATAAAGCAAACAGATTTTGAAAAATTCAACTCTCTCAAAGAGAAATTTTTCTTTTACCTGAGCTTGACCCACGCCTCCTCGCCAAACTTTTCCACTACCAGCGATTTCAAACAGGCATTAATAAATCCATACTGTCAGGAATACAACAAACAAATCAGGCCAGCTGAGAAACTAAGATAATAAAAGATAGCATACCATGAAAAGCAGCATACCATGTCTCTGTGCAGTTTGTCCACCAGCAGCTTTCCCCTTCACGATTATCGTCACACCGCTCTCTCACCACACCCAGTCTCTTCTCTCATAAAATAACCAACAAGAAAATCCAGCCTGTTTAAGAGACTTCCCAGTCTCATCTCCACAAAGGAGTTGTCCAGTCCAGCCTGGTGCTAACAACCCCCCCTGGGGTCTGGGTGACATACAGCCTCTTATAAATAACACTTTGATAACAGGGACTCGAAAATCACTGTAACTCATAACTGAGAATGAGTTACAATTGTAGCAGCCAAATTTCTCTTTTTTACCCATTTTAGGAGGGTTAAAACATGTATTCTTATTGTCACATCTAAGTAATTTTGATTCATATATTTGTATATGTGTGCAGATAAACAATTCTTTGTATTTGGACCACCTTAATCAATAACAGCTAGAGGGTACTGTTATTTACATTGCTGATAATGAAGGAAATCATAACAGAATTTAATTTGGATTGAAAAAAGGGAAACAGAAACAGATATTTAAATGGTCCTTTAATGCAATGGTATAATGATTCACACAATTATGGGAAAAAGTAATCAGGAATGGAGAATTTATTTGATGGATGTTGTGATTTCACTGAAGTCGGACACCAGCATCAAACGCAGGAAGGACAAGTCTTTGGAAGAGGAGCACCTCAAGCACATGAGGGTTTGAGGAAACTTTCAGTATCCAGGCCCCACCCCCACAAAAAAATCTCAACAACCAAAACCATGTACTGGACCAATACTGCACAAACATAAAAACATAAACGTGTCTTCACTAAGATCCAGTTTACTCCTGATTGTAAAAAGAAATCCCCTCACATTTGGGCCATTTCTAGAAATGATCATGGACTTTACAACTGCATAGAAAATATAAAAGTGTAACTTTTACATACACAAATTGCAGGATTTAAAACAGATGTAGAGAGACTTCAATGGTCTCTACTTGCATAAAAACAGATAAGAGGAAAATGTTGGGGGTAAAATGCTCCGTGAACCAAGACACTGTCTCTTTAATAGTACTTGTAAATAATAAATCAAGTACCATTTAAAGCCCAGTTTTCTTTAAAATATTCTCAACATATTGTCAGACAGTAATATGAGAAATTATTAAGAAAAAACAACAAAGCTTTTAAACAAGTCAGTTAGTGTTGATCATCAGTGACATCTAAAATCTGACTCATACCAGTCTTTTCAAATATTCTAGTAAAAACATATTAAAGAATTTCAGGTCATATGCTCTTGAACCTGCTCATCAAACAGACGCTTGGTAAACACAGGCTGGTTCTTCGTGTTCATCTAGTGTTTTTCAGCCAGTGTCTGTTTGAAGTTGAAGTAATTGCTGAGGGGAGGTAAATAGCACCAACAAGAGTGACCTAAAGTGTGGGCAAGTGTCAGGTCCGTAATGAGGTCTGCAGAGCCTTCATGTCCCTCAGGAGCCTCAGATTCATTTTGCTTCTGTCTCCTGGTCTAGCCTTGACTGCTGCCGCAGAGTGACCTCTGGTGGACACTGTGGTAGACACCCTCAGCTCGTTCCCATTGCTCTGCTGCAATTGGCTTCTTTTCTTAACTTTTTATCTGGCAGAGAGACAGGAAAAGATAAGAGACACAAGTTTTAACAAATTATAATAATAAAAAAATAAATAACAAGAAAGAAAACTAGTGACTGCATATGTGAAAACACACCTGCGACTTGTGCTTGTACAGCTTACTGATCTGCTCTCCTTTCCTCTCCATTTTCAACAACAGCCTCTCCTGCACCCTCCGAAGTTCCTTTCTTTCCTGTTCAAACACACAATCCTCCACCTGCCTCATTAACTCATCATGCTCCCTGCAACACACACGCAGAAACACACTGAAAAAACCCCCAAAGTACTTTTGATAATCGTCGTCTGTGACTTGCCTTGTGTCGAGATCAAATGAAATACTGCTCACAAGCTCATGAGTCGCAGCTCCTCCTGCAGGGCTTGCCAGCAGCTCCGATAATTCCTCCCCGCTAGCCGAAGAGGAAGAAGAGGAACTGTCTGAATGCCGGTGGCCGTCTGTGCCGGAGCCGTTCGTGTTGCGTGAGAGGACGCGGCTGTTGCAGAGGTGGGGCTGGTGTCGCTTCAGGAGAGACAAAACTGACTGGACGTTGGCTCTGACCGAGTGGCTGCAGCCTACTGACTAAATGTCAGAGAGAAAGAGAGCGAGTCAGCATAAGGGAAGTGCATGTTAAATATGGTAGACCATTGTATTCCATCACACGGGCATGTCTTTTTATACCGTTCCAGCAACAAAGGGTACATCTCTCAGGCTCAGTCTATAATGTGGCTCTGTGTGGGAATATTGCTGCGATGATTTCTGGAAAGGAAATGGAAATAAAACTAGGGAAGATGGAATTTGGATTGATGTTTTTATCTGGTTCCCTGATGAACATGTTTAACCTTTTTAATAAATCTACACTTGTGAGCAAAACTGTCTCTTCTACCATCTACTTATAAAGAAGGAACCTTAGCAGTCTCAAACAGAAGTAAAACCATGAGCTGAGCATGTGAAGGTCTTAACCTTTGTATTGGACTTCTTCTCTTGGGCTTCTTGGCGGATCGGCACGGTGACACAGACTGCAGCAGGATCCTACTGGCGTCCAACCCCGTCTGTAGCTGAGCATTGGAAAGAAGAAAGTATGTAAAGTGAGTAACAGAGAGAGCAAAGATGAAAATTATAATTCATGTCTCATTACTTGGTTGGCCTTGTCTTGGATGAGCTTTCTTTGGTACTCCTCTTCCTGTAGTTTCATCTCCAACTCAAGGATCTTCATCTGAAGACAAACAAACCCATCATACGATGAATATATCAAAACACTAACTTTTACTTGTTACCACTTTAAGTCCAGTAAAAATAGAAAATACTGACAAATAAAGAACAACCTGAAAATAATTCTTAGCTTCTTAATGTGCAGATTAATCCAGGTCCATGACAGCATACAGAATTTTAAATTCTGAGCTCCTCTTAAGAACCAGTATTCTTTTTGTCTTGTTCTGGTTGTTTAAAGACTTCTTGTAAACTCTTGTGAACATTTATCTGTTTTCTTTAATATGAGCTGTGGGAAATTCAACTGAAAATTACACTAAAACTGTTGTTCAGTAATCTTAGAAAAGACACCACCAGGTGATGAATAGCTTGAGATGCTTTAAAGTCCTATTTCTGGCATGAAAAAACAACCTATTTTAGTGATTAAATGTTTTGTGAACCACTTGCTTCATCTATATTTAAGTAAGTAGTACAGTGAAATAGCCAACAAATTATGCACTGCTTCACTGCAATTTCCCCAATTTGCAAAGCTAACTGTGGGCCAAAATCAGACCCTTTGGTGGGACATTTAGAGCCCCCAGGACAGCAGTTTGATACTCATACTTTTGATTTATCAAACCATGCTTGAACAAAAACAAGCTGTGGGTAATCTGGGGAAGCCTGATGCCACTGCCATGGATTTTATGATGTTTAATGGCAATATTCTCTTCCTTATGACAGAAGAGCATGGGTTGTTCAGTAGATAATTTCAGTGTACCTGACACTACGTCAACAAGTCTGTATATTTACCTCGGAAATGTTCTGTGTACGTGTCAGTCTGAGATACTCCCGCTCAAGTCTCTCCAGCTTGTCAAACTGAGCATACTGTGATGCTGTGTCAGACTGCCACTCAGCTGATTTGGCTTTCTGCAGGATGTCCTGAAAGGAAGATAACAATAAGATAAGATAACCTTTATTAGTCCCACATGTGGGAAATTTGTTGGGTTAAGGCTACCGACCTTCGCCAGTGCCATCTTACCCTTCCAACCATACATACATTACAACATCACATGGGGAAGACAGGTCAGAGAGGTATAACAATGGAAAATGCACAACATGAGGAAAGACGAGGAGAAAAAATAACTCCCCCCAGACTGAGCTCCAACAGGGAGATCAACAATCTTCGGTCGACGTGGGTGGACTTGAATGAGGAGGGAGAAAGTCACAACACAGTCTTATTATCTAAAGGAGGATTGTTATTCCTGTCAGCTTTTGCCTTGAGCATCCAGCTGCCGCCAGGGGGCCGCATGAGTTGAAGAGGGTAGTTAGTTTGGTTAGTGCGAACAAACTCCATCCAATTTTACAGTTGGTCTAATGTCCGTCACTGATCAACAGGTCTCTCAATTCCATTTGTTCTTCTTCAAGATGTTATCCATATAGCAGAGCCATGAGCTTCTCCAAGATCTTATCCATATTGTGTTCAAAAGCAGTATGAGTACTCACAGCCCTGCCCATCCTCTATCATGTCAGCCAGCCTTGTGGAATTTTGAACAGCTGTAGCCGCTTCTTGTTCTTCGATAAGCCAGGTCCGAGCCAGCTCCAATCAGCCAGAACTCTGTTATCATGGTTCCGAATTGGTAGATGTCGTTCAATGTCCTCCATCGAGTGTCGCTAGACACACGACACAGCCGACCATTGAGTATCCAGCAGAAAACGTTTCCGCAGGAAAATCAGGCTCTCCCATTCCCCGGGGGTTGTCAGTTTCGTTAAGGGACCAGTTGATCAAATCCATAATTCTTCTTTAGGTTTTAGAGAACAAGTTTGGGAGACTCACTTAGGGTTAGAGATTAAGCGAGACTATACAAAAGACATGAGAAGCCAAGCAGGAAAGATAAGGGAGAAGGAGAAAGTGCGAGCGCCTCCGTCAAGAATATGGATCTACGGACTACTGATTTCAAGTTTTTAAATGAATACAGTGGTCCCTCGCTATAACGCGGTTCATCTTTCATCTTTCGCGGCCTCACTGTTTCGATTTTTTTGTACAATTTTGCATGCTTTTTTTTTTTACAGTGCACTGTGTTCTGCGTCCTGATTGGCTGTAGACCACTGTCAATCAATCTTGTACTGTGTCTCCTGTACAGTACAGAATGCGTTCAGCTTGTCAAATTTACATCAATTTTCTATCGCTAGCAGTGTGACTCTGAGGTGCTGTACTGTATGTTTTTAAGTTTTCTCCCAACAAACACAACAATTTCGACGAAACATTTTGCACCGTCAAAGGCAACCGCGGGTGACTTTGGTTTCATTCTATAATACTGGACTTATTTTGCTATGAAGGTTTGAACTTTGAGAGAGTTTAAACAAGAGAGAAAAGTGTGAAAATGTTCATGCCTGTCTGAGAGAAGTGTATAAAGTGTGGAGTGAGGGGTTTTACAGCCTTAAAACATCTATAATAATTGTAAAAATAACATTGACTACTTCGTGGATTTCACCTGTTATTTTTAAAACGTAACTACCGCGATAGACAAGGGACCACTGTATATTTTAAATGAAAAGCTACAGGCTATGACATTTAACCTGCTGTTTAAGCAGGTTGGTCCTCTCTGTTCTGGCATTGCGCAGCATCCTCCTCATGTGATCCAGCTGTCGCTCCAGCTTCAAACAGCGAGACTCTGCGGCAGCAAGGTGGTTGATCAGCACTAGAAATAGAGAGAAGATACGCAGAAGACATGTAGGTAACAAAAAAAAAAAAGACTATAGCTTGAAACAAGACAGTAATAAAAGTATATGAAAAGGTAATTAAATTATTATCACCATATATCTATCTATCTATCTATACTCACCTTGGTTGCAGTTGGAATGGGCACTTCTTTGTCTTTCTGGGTCTTTTTGATCATTTAAGAGTCTCGGTGTAATATCTTCATTCTGTAGAAGTGTTTGTGAAGCATCTTTTCCCAGTGCATGCAGACTCCGCTCTGCATGTCCTTTTTCCATCTCCAACCTCCTGATCTTTTCTTGTAGGTTCCTCAAGGCAGATAAGATCACTTCACAGACATAAAAATATAAGTTAGCTACAGGAAGGGTCTGCATATCGTGACATATCTGGTGTAACAAGATATTTTTGGGTTCTAAAAGGAAAAAGAAGATAACATGACAGGAGCTAAGAAAGGATGATTGGACGAATGAATAGATGTTGGTGAAGCTGAGACATTCAAGTAGTGCAGCATCATGTTGCATGTGTAACCATGGAGCTCTGAAACACTACAATGCCTGAATGGAAACTCTACACAGGCAACAGAAGAGATGCACAAGTTAATTGTACCAGTACTGTTGGTCTCAGGGAAGGCTTTGATGGGTGATGATGGAACATATGATTGATGAGTGTGTGTTTGAGGTCTGTGATGCACAAGTGTGTTGATAAAAGGTCGGTGAGCTGGGTAGTCTTTGTAGGATGGCAGAGACAGACTGTCAGGCACCGGTCCACAGGTTGGTGGTGGTGGTGGATAAGATTCCTGCAGGGAAACAGGACTAAATGTTATTTAGTTATCTGCATTTTCCATATTAGACTTTAGATAACTGCTGGCATCTACATTTTTACAGTGAGCGAATAGAACAGGGCCAAAAACAACAAATGGAGTACAGAAAGTGAAATGACCGTGAGAAAAAAAACTATATTCATTCCGTCCAGTTCACGTCAAACACAGAATAACTTCAGCCCACTATTAGGTTTGCAACATCGTTTAGTTTGAGTTGTAGCAACTGCTGCTAGGCAGCTTCCTGTGCAGTCTAGCTAACTCAAGATAAACGGTGGCAACCTGCTTTTAATTTTTCTTTCAATTGAAATTCACCCAAATCTGGTAATACTACCGTTTCCCGCGTAGCATCAGCTGCGAGTGTTTTTGGCAGCGTCTCCATCGAAATGCAACCATTCCAGCCTGTCTCGCATGTGTTAAAGAAATGCAAATGACGCAATGCTAGCTGAGAGTAGAACTACAGCACATCGCTTTTTAATTACGACTGACAGATTACTAGCTAAGCACAGTTTGTACAGCCGTTTGTGCTAATATGGGCTGTGCAAAAGAAAACACCACTTTGACAAGCGACACAGTCCATGGTTTCTGAAGGGTACGAATGGTTTAAATCACATTATGACTCGTTAGACACTAAGGACATATAAAAGACGCGGACCGGAGTGCCAATATCCATAAAACAAGCGCACACGGTGGGCTTACCGGAAATGTAGTTTCTCCTCAGCGGAGATTCCGCTTTGAAGAATCGAGATGTTTAGGAATGAAACTACAATAACTCTCAGACACCCTTGAGGGGTGGAGCAAGGGTTTGCAAGAGTTGCCGGGAATTTTATGGCAACTTGGGTAGTTTAGAGACTTTAGAGAAGGTAAGTGGGATGGTCGTGTTATTTTTCCAATCTGGGTCGTTACCTAGGCCGTATGGGCATCTTAACTGTAGGCTACATTCAACAAATTTACGAACACATGATAGGTTTGTTGTAGTCATGCTATTAATACATTTCACCCACCGCTTTCCAACACAGGCAAAAGCTAACCTGCTGTCTTTCCGATAACGTGTTACTCTTAGCTGTAGCTACGGTCTTACTAACATAATAATAAGTTAGGTCGGCGGTTCATCATGCATAGTGTGTCGTTAGCATGTTTTTGGGACATAGGGACTCTTAAAAAAAGTGCTATTTTTGATTCTGAACTTTTTACAAATATCCACTTATTTTTATTGTTATTGTTTGTGATTCATTTTCTTAAGTTTCTTAATATCGTAAGTTTCCTTAAGATATTTTTTAAAATAAATATGAATTGTTTATATTGTTTGTATTTTTTGCAGAAAAGCCTTATTGCTGAGCCCCTGCCAGCTGTAAACACATCATCATGTCTTCAGAGAATACCTCGTATGGTCTTTTAAGTCTTTCCTCTTGAACGTGTTCTTGAATGTAATGTTTATATCCATGTAATATGTACACATATGTTTCCATTTTCTAGAGATGATGAGGATACTTTCAAGATCCTGATTGCTACAGATATTCACCTTGGTTACCTTGAGAAGGATGCCATTCGTGGAAATGACACATACACCACACTAGATGAAATCCTGCAATGTGCCAAGCAAAATGAGGTGCGTGCTTGTTGTAAGTGGACCTGAATGGACCATTACCTCCGCATGTCTCAAGTATCCATTTCTTTTCTTTTTGCTTGTTTCTTTGCTAACAGGTAGATTTCATCCTCCTTGGTGGCGATTTATTCCATGACAACAAACCTTCACGCCAGTGCCTTCACAAGTGCCTCACTATGCTGCGAAAATACTGCATGGGAGACTCGCCTGTACGCTTCGAAATCCTCAGTGACCAGAAAGTCAACTTCAACACAACACAGTCAGTTTCACTTGGTGTCATCCTATAGAGGTTTTGCACGTAATGTCATGTGCAGGTCGCTTAAGAACTGTTCGCCATATTGGATCTGATAAATGGTGGCGATCACATCCAATCACTCATATACACTTAACATACAAATTATCACTGATATTAATGAGAAATGAGCTATGCTGACTCATTGACGATGTAAGAGATAATGTACAGAGATGTGTCAGTATCATTATAATATAAATACAATAAAAATCAGGTAAATACCTGAGCAATAACTGTGGTCCACTTGATCCAGTGATTACAATTCCAGGCCAGTAACTGGGGTTTGTTACCCATCTTGACACATAATACTGATAATTATTTAAACTTTTATACACCTTCATATCTTGTCCAATATAATTCGTTTTTAAACAACATAATGATCTAAATCATGTGGTGTGCAGTCAGGGGGAATGCAAGGGTTACACAGCAAGAAGCTTGTTATGAAAGTGTGTTACTTTCTCTGAGAGAGTATATATACTGGTTTCTTTACTCTTTTACTCATCTAAGGAATGTTTAGTAGGTTTGTAACTGTATTTCAGGATTACAAGCCCAAAAAACAAGTTAGTGTCACATGGTAAACGGTCACGTGTCTGTGTTAAATATCAACACTTCACCGAGTTCTTTTGATTCCTCATAGGCATCCGATGGAAGACAAAACACTGCTTAGTAGACCATTTCACACTTACACAGTGACTTCTAGAAGGGTGATGCGTCCTGCATGACACGTTGCCGCGGATCTCAAAATGGTGGTGCCCCCAATAGTTTTATTATAGAAGCTCTCTCATTCTAGTCTAAAAAACAGTGTCTCAGTAACTTTCCACTAGAAGATGGTCCCCTGTTATCTACCTTTTCCCAGGCAAGCGTGAGTCTGCAGCATTCAACCCCCCAAAGACACGTAGTGTAATGCCTTTATTTTCAGGGCCGTGTCCACTTAATACTATACTATATAACTTTATAACCCTTATTAATAAAAAAGCATAGCATTATTGAGGCACTTCAAATTATTTAATCACAACATGTGCTAAACTTCTATAACACACTGTTTTATTTGTTATGTATAAATGTTATGTGTGTGTTGATATCTTGTAGGTTCCCCTGGGTTAATTATCAGGATGAAAACCTGAACATCTCTATTCCTGTGTTCAGCATTCATGGGAACCATGATGACCCAACTGGAGTGAGTTGCTTTTAGTGACAAAGGAAGTTATGAATTCAGATACAACACCCATTGTCAGGGTTCCTTTGACCCAGTGTTTTCAGTTCTGGACCTTTTGTCATTGTTTGTTTTCACGTGTGTGTTTCCTGTTTTATTGTGTTAGTCTTCTGTCTGTGTGCATTCTGTTAAGTTCTACTTCCTCTTTGTCATTAATCAGATTTAGTTCAGCTGTGTTCTCACCTGTTTCCACTCATCATCGTTATCCAGTGTATTTAAGCCCTCAGTTTCCCTCAGTTCTTTGTCTTGTTGTCGTCAACTCATCGTGTGTGTTTACAGTCTAGTTCAGTAGTTAAGGTCAACCTTTCATGTTCAGTTCATCCTGTTTGTGTAATAAATCTGTGAGTCCTGCAGTTGGGTCCTCTCTTTCCATTCTCATACACCTGACCGTGACACCCATGCACTAATATTCAAGTATGTGGATTTCTGTATGTTTTCTCCAAGGCTGAAGGCTTGTGTGCATTGGATCTGCTGAGTGCTTCCGGACTTGTCAATCATTTTGGCCACTCCCACTCTGTGGAGAAGATAGAAATCAGTCCCATTTTAATACAGAAAGGCATCACCAAGCTTGCCTTATATGGTCTTGGTAGGTTCATGTTTCCAGATGGATCAGTAGTGTCCATTCCTAAAATAATCTTGTTGTTTCACTAAGATTTGTCAATCAATCAACGATTGATTTTAATTTTGTATTAATATGTCTCAAGGTTCTATCCCAGATGAGCGCCTGTACAGGATGTTTGTCAACAAACAGGTATCCATGCTTCGCCCGAAAGAAGACCAAGATGGCTGGTTTAACCTCTTCACCATCCATCAGAACAGGTAACTACATCATTTAAAAGCATTTGAGATGCAGCTGTGTCAAACTATGGAGTGCTGAAAGGGTCAAACAGTATTAAATAAATACATAAATAAATACTTCATCATGTAATCAGTTAAACGGGTCATTAATATAATAATTACATTTTGAAATACATAATAAATAATTTACAAAGTACATAATTAAGTAAACAATGCTACTGGCGATTTAATTTGAAATGTATTCTGGGATACCTGGATACTCCAAATCCATATAACCACCTATTGACATTGACACTGCATCAATCCATAATCCATAATCTGGGATTGGGCCATCTTGATTTGCTGTGCAGGGTAACCAAGCAGATGTGTGGGTCTGTTGACGAGTTGTTGTGATAGTTTAAATGACTTCATGATCCAGGAACCATGAAATAAAAATAAATAAATAGTGAAATAGTAAAACATGTTTTTAACTAATTAATGACACATTTAAGTCATTATTTTCTTTTGAATTTATTTATTAATTTGTTGAATTTATTTCCTATCTTAGTTAACTAGTCATACAGTTAAATAATGATGTCTTATCATGAATTATTAATATGTGCTATAATTAATTAATTAATTCAATAATTAAATAAACACACAATGGTGCATTCATTTATTTCATTTACTAAACAAGTCTGTCTCCAAGTGTTCCTCAGTAAACATACAGGGTGTTCTGTATGTCAGAGTCTTACCTCTGATACTGCTGGATAAACAGAAACTCACTCAGGAACGAGGTCACACAGAGCTCAAGTTTTCACTTGCAAGAGGGAAGCAGTTGTCTCCAACCCACTTCAACTTGCTTTCCTCCTGCAGGTTGTTTTTATTGGTTACACACAGATGTCGGCATCTCGTCCCAGCCAGGTGGCTTCCTTCATTGAATAGAATCTGTTCTTCTCAAGGCTGCTTGTTCCCCTTATCGAGGTCGTGCACGTACTCATATGCGCGGGTTACATAGAGAGCAAATAGAAGCATTCTAGCTTTTTAAATGGCAACTTACAACACATACATTAAACCTAACAGTGTATATGAGAGGGAAGTTGTGACATGAAAAAAAATCTTGTATTAGTATAACTTGTTCATAAATTTCTTTTTATTTGATCACCTAATTATGTAAAAATACCAACAACTTTTTCTGTGTTTGTATTTTGTCAAGGAGTAAACATGGTCCTACAAACTACATTCCTGAGCAGTTCCTGGATGATTTCCTTGACCTGGTGGTGTGGGGTCATGAACATGAGTGTTTGATTAAACCCACCCTAAATGAACAGCAGCTCTTCTATGTGTCACAGCCTGGAAGCTCTGTAGCTACATCCCTTTCTCCTGGAGAAGCCACCAAGAAGTATGAATGCACACACATTAAATGAATCACATTCTGAATGTATTTTAATGTCAGTTCTCAAAACACTGTTTGTCTGTTTATTCATATCTAGGAAAATTGGTCTGTTGAGGGTGAAAGGTCGTAAAATGAAATTGCAAGAGATCCCCCTGAAGACTGTGCGTCAGTTCTTCATTGAGGATGTGGTGCTGGCTGATCATCAGGACTGTTTTACACCAGATACACCTCATGTAACAAAGAAGGTGGAGGACTATTGTTTTGCAAAGGTCACAGAGATGCTGGACGAAGCAGAAAGGGAAAGACTTGGATGTCGGCTTACACCTGAGAAACCTCTTATTCGCCTGAGAGTAAGATGGATACACTGTGTGCAT